TACTAGAATATAAGCTCAATTAGGACAGGGACTTCAATATAGATAGCATTTAGAAAAGAGCCGGGCAGATAGTAGGTGGTCAACAAATTTCTGTTGTATAAATAAATGAACTTCCAGGTGACCTTTTTATGGAAAAAATTCTAAGACAAGAACTGCTTGGTAAACGTATTATGTCTCCCACTCTCTTAATCACAAAAGCAAAAGGTTGTTCCAAGAACAATAGAGGAAGAAATATCTGGGGTTTAAACAAGACAGAATGTGAGTATAACAGGGAACAGGCAGGGTTTGCAAATATGGTGAGCATAGGGGCCTTACTTAGGGCCATCATTCAGAGAAAGGGCGCGAGGGGCCTCAGTGGAAGCCATGGCCACTGGTCTCCCCTGGTCTCTGTGGCAGCGTTCTAGATCCCAGAATCTTCATCCATTAGAAGTCTCTTCTTGACCATCAGCAGTGTTGGATATAATTGAACAGAAGGTTTATTGCTGGGGAGGGCAGCCCATGCCCTTATTTTTGCTGTTCCAAGCAATAGTTGAAACAAACTGCAGCTGAGAAAGGCAGATGCTGAGTCCAGGTGTCCTGACTATTCACATATCCCATGGAACCCTGCCGGGAGAAGACACAGATAGTTCCTCCCTTGTCAGGAGTAAGCTGGGCTAGAATAGGCAGCTAAAGGGAGGTCTCACAATCACCCAAAGATGTGAAGATTTGTCAGGCAATTCAGAAGATTCGGGGTACAAATGGGGGGCATTTGTCTAGAGCCCTTCTCTATACAGGACATTAGGATTCCAGAAGCAAATGCTTTCATGAGAACTTTGTATTTCCTGTCTGAATCATCCCAAATGTATTGGCCAGTTAAGGCATGGGGCTGTTTGTGTGTTCCCTACAAGGAGCTTAGTTAATTATCTTTCCTCACCAGATGGCCTCTGGCGTTAGAGTCAGAGCTCTTAACTGCACTTTTCTCTGGCACCACAGTTCCTGGGGGGTTCCCTTCCCCAGATCTGCAGGTGTAGAGAATGGAGGGTGTGATTAGCAAGCTGGGAAGTGTTATCAAAGCCCATCTAGTTCTCATTTGTGTTGACATGGACATTGGGCAGGAAGCACAGAACAATTGACCTCTGTCTCCTTCCCCAGCTATGAGACTACCTCAAGTGAAGAGACCAGTGGCGAGGACAGCTCCCCAGAAGATTTGTCTGACAACGAGGCTGAGAAGAAATGTGATGGCCCAGAACATAGGCGGGGCAAGGATGCCCACCCCAGCTGCAAGGTGGGGCAGGGCATCGCTGAGGGCACCCGCGACACAGGCCAGGAATGTGGGCCCAGGGAAGAACTCCCCCTTCCCAAGCCTGATAGGTGAGTCAGATGGGTCAGATGGGGTACTTGATCCTCTGAGAAAGGGCAAGAGCATTTCTTCACTCTTTTATTTAATCATTTGTTCACCGTTCATCCATTCACCACTGAGTTTCTAATCTATGCCATGTACTGTGCACTGGTTGAACTAAACAGATATAACTCCTACCTTCATGGGATATACTGTCATAGACAGAGCTCTACATATAAAGCTAACATAGGCCTAACACTGAAAATGTGAAGGATTTTCATGTATTATCTTATATAATCCTTTTAATAATCCTGCAAGGTAGACATGATGATAATCCCTGCTTTACAGATATGGAAATATAGGCTTAGAAAAGTTAAATGACACAGCTAGCAGAGCAGAGATTCCTTCCAGGTCTTTTCTGCTTCTTACCCACACACTTTTCTGCCTCTCCCGTTGGCTGTGCTGATGTAATCCTATCTTTTAAAGTGGTGGAATGTCATGTGGCATGATGAAAAGAGTACTTTGGAATTGGGCACACCTGGATTCAAATCTTATGTTTGCACGGTGTTATTTTAGACAAGATACTTAAGCTGTGGTGACCTCAGTTTTTTCATCTGTAAAATGAAGACAATAGGAACCTGATAGATTTGATCTGAGGACTAGATGAGAAAAAAGTTTGTAACATGCCTAGCATAGTGCCTGCCACATAGTAGGCTCTCAATAAATGGTAGAAATAAGAATAGTAAGTACTATTATCATCATCATCATCCCCAGCCTGGTTGATGAAGGAGCGGTGAACAGTGAACCATAGCTGATTGTTAAGCAGGTCCACAGGGTGCCCTAACATGGTAGTATGATAAAGATGTGATGAGTGAGTGGAACGTCTTGGTGACCAATGCCATTAAGTCCCAATTTAGGCCTCTCGATACTGACTGTGCCCTTGTACTAACACAGGAAGAGTGTTTATCATTGCAATAGCCCAGCTTAATTGATTTTTATTTTATTGACTCTATTAGCACTTATGGTGTCCTTCATGGAAGGATAACCTGCAGAAATTCACTGGTATGGATTGGGTTCTTTGAATTTTTCAAGTCACTCAGGCAGAAAACATTTGGTCCAAAGTCAGAAAGACAACTCTCCGTTGCCCAGGATGTCAGAAATGGCAGTTGGGCCTGTGGCCCTCAAAATGCTTTAGTGATTGCTCTGACCCCCTGAAAACAGCAAGATAAAAAGGGCAATGTGCTTGACTCACTCTTTAGAAGAATTCCAAAGCCAAGCCACACCATCAGGACACTGTGTTCACCCCATATTTCTGAGGAATGCCCCTTAATCTGGGAAGTTGCCCATTTTGGATGTTTGAGCTGCTGAGAATGAAAGTCAAAGTAGAAAATAACCTTTTTCTTTTTTTTATCAACATGAAGATATATATATATGTGTGTGCATGTGTGTGTATATATATATGTATATATATAGATAGATAGATATATTCTCTCTCTCTCTCTCTCTTTAGATATAAACCCTCAGAAGAATTTTTTAATGCATGCCGGGCATTAAGCCAACATCTGCCGGAAACTGGGACCACCACTGACCAACTTTTGGTACCCTGATTTTTCATTGTCATGTAGATATTTCTGGACTGTTTAAGCTATTAGTTTCAACTGGGTGACTTTGGTCCCTTGCCTGAGGCAGCAGTGTGAGTGTGTACACATGAGTCCATTTCCTCTGGGTGCTTTCTCATTTGCCCAAATTCTGCTTGCTGCCAAAGGTGATGGATTATGCTGAGAAAGTGGAACTGATGGATATGCACAAGAAAGCAGGCCGGGTGCTCAGAGAATTTACCAGGGGTTATTAAGCATTGAACCCTGGATGTCTTGTTATAAAACTATTTGTGGCTTAGGCTCAAAATTGCCTTGCAATTTGAGAGAACTATGAGTAAAGTGGAAAAGAGCACGTGGAATAGGAACCATGGGTTCTATTCCCAGGACTGCTATCTGTGAGGTATTGGGCAAGTAAGCTCCACACTCAGGGCTTCAGTTTCCCCATTAATAAAACGAGGGCTGTGGGCAGCATGTCTCCATTAACCTCAAACCCTGGCATTTAATTTTGTAGTCTTTACTCTTTTTCTTGAAGTGTACCTAGGGGTCAAGAGACCAAGATCAAGAAACTGCATCTGTTTGCTCTTTAACAAACCTTCATGGCCCATGGAGATTTAACATATAATGATTGGGTTCTACTTTTAATCAAAAGATACTGGCACTGACACATTCTCCCAAGTTAAGAGAGCAGCTGATAAGTCCCAGCGTGTAACAACTTGTAAGCATTTTCAAAGTGCATTTTGTTCTCCTTTCCAGAAGGGCCATAGGAGTAAAAACGATCAATTCAGCACAACCATTTTCATTACTTTATCTTAGCTTATTTGTCAAATAACTGTCCCCAGATTGTTAAAGAACCGATATGTGATATGGATATTGATCAAAACTTCTGTTACATATTCTTAAATGAATTACAGAACTGTTCTTTCTTAGCTCTTCATTTAAAATCCACCACTATTTTCCTTAATATTAGGATCTTTCTTCAGTTTTACCTGAAGATTCCATAGGTACAGGAGATAGTATATAAAAAGTGTTTCAGCCACAAAAAAGTCCTGCTTATACTGCCTCTATGGTGTCAAGTTTGCATATTCTCTAATGGACACAAAAGTGTTTCTGCCTAGAAAAACCATTAGAGAATATGCAAACTCGACACCATACCCATGTTAGGCTCAAAAGCACAAGACCCCTACCTCTTTTCCTTAGAGACGAAGCAGGTCCTACAAGGACCAAACTCTGTAGAGCCATGGGATGTTAGGGAGCCCGCTTCTTTTTTCACAAGTAAGATTCAAAAAGGTTATATGACTTCCGAGATCATACAACTGAGCCAGGACCTAAGCCTGGCCACACTGGTTTAATGACTCCAAATGCAGTGCCCTTTCCAGAATGAG